TTGTGTCGTGTTTACATGTTTTGAACTAGGTTTATCTTTTTGTGTCGTGTTTACATGTTTGGCATAAACCGTATGGTTCAGACTACGGACCCTCCCTGTTTTGTACACTATAGTGCACGTCTTGAATAGGTCTGTTCCGCACAACGTGATTGGTTGATGCTGTTATTAGCGTTGCGCAACATCAGAAAAATCAACCTAGTTCCAAACATGTAAACACGACACAACAAGATATAGGAGTACACCACATTTTAACAAATAAAACCCAGGGGACGGTTCACTTATGCATCACGAAGCTCGGTGACTGCACACCATACACTTTGACCAAAATAGAAGGAGGTAACTGACCCTCTCAATGGCCTCCTTCTCCTGGGGGGTGACCTGGATGTAGTTGGTCTGTGGGGACCCCTGGGCCTGGGCCTCGGCCTCCTCCCCTGCCGTGTCTCCAGCTCGTGGCTCATTCAGCATCTGCACAAAACGCTCCTGGTGCTGCGTGATTTGCTGTAAGTCACACATACATACAATGTAAATACTACAAATAATTAATATACGTGTTCCCAGTCTCTACACTCTTAGAAATAAAAGTTCCACACGGATTCTCCCTGAACAGTTGAGGTTCTACCCAGAACCACTTGCTTCTGAAGATCTTTTTGTTTTTAAGAAAGGGTTTTCCAAGGGTTCTTTGTAAGACTAAGGGTTCCATGAAGAACCCTTTTCATCAGAAGAATCCTTTTTGGGAGAAAGAGTTCTTATCCAGCCCACACACCACTAGAAACTGTGATTGGGAACCAGGATTGTTGTTATTAGGGTTCTCCGTAGAACTCCCGGGTGAGTTCTAGGTGAAACCCTGGGTGTATTCTATATGCAATCTTTGAAATATAAAAGGGTTCTCTGTAGAACCCCTTGAGTGGGTTCTTGTTAGCACGCTTAAAATGTGGAAAGGTTCTCAATAGAACCTCCAGAGAGGGTTCTGGGTGGAACTATTACACCATAGAAGGTTCCACCATTGTGGAATTGCATTTTCCAGCTGATCCAAGAGGCTTTTAAAATATTTTATTTAGCTTAAGAAGAAAGAGGATTTTCACATAAGGCCCTTAAATTTGTACTTTAGTGCAAAATATTATTTAAATATATACGTGGTTGTTATGCATTTAAAGGAAATAGACATCGGTGAGTGTGCCGGTGCGGTACCTGCAGCAGCTGCGGGTTGTCTCTGCCTAGCTGCTGCAGAAGGGCCGGTAGGAGGGCCGGGTTCTGCTGGATGATCTGTCTCATCTGCTGGAACTGAGGCTGGTTCCTCAGGAACTCCAGAGGGTTCCCCGTGGAGAGAGAGCCTCCACCGGCAGAGGGAGGCAGGCTCCCGGACGCTGGCCCTGCTGGAGAGAGGACGCGCTGGTTACTGCCGGTGTTGTTTAGTGTGATAGACTGGAGAGCGTTTGGAGACAAAATAACCCAAACCCCATATATCACGGTAGCAGCCACGGCCTAACTAAATATTGTTGGTTCAGGCAATCACAGATTACAACATACATATTAAAACATAAATCTCTAAGTTCACACTGCAAGCCTTCATGCTCAATTCTGACTATTGCTCGGATCAGATTTTTATTGTTTGGCTGTTGACACATTTTTTGTGGCAAATATCAGATTCCAGCATGAGCTGGTCACAGTCCTGAACTGACCTGCATGTGAAACAAACAAAGACGAGGACGGAGGCCACGGAAGTCAGCGTTAATGGTCAAATCTTTCAGTATGGCTTTTTGTGGAGCAAGGGAAGCAAAGAGCAAGCTTCCTCTGTACAGTGGTGTGTGTGTGTGTGTGTGTGTGTGTGTGGATGCAGAGTCGGACCCAGGAGCGGTGGGACTGTGATCGTGATCTAGAGAGACATAAAAAGTGGCATGAATTCTGATATGACTGTTAAAAAGACCTGTGTCTGATTTAGGAAACATACTGTATAAAAAAGTGGCCCAAATCAGAATGGAAAAGATTAGAGTCCATGTGATTTGTGCTGTTCACACTGTTGTGAAAGACAAATCTGAGTCACATGTGTGCCAAAAAGAACAAAAACAAATTTGGTCAGCCGCAGTGTGAAAGTAGTGTTGTTAACGTCGGTTCAATAACCTGTTTTTCCTTTGCTAGCTATGAAGAGAAGTTAGCCGTAACGTAACCCTAAATAAAAGGGAGCATAATGTCATTTTCAACCAAATAGATCACAGGAACTAAAAGTCCATTTTGTGCATTTGTGTTTCAACCAACACAGAGTCAGTCATACTGTTCTTTGCTGTTCAGTCGTCACACCATGACAAGAGCCAACTCAAAGACAACTGAACAAACACTACACTCCGATAGGGACAAAACTCCAGAATCAGGTAGTAAGCAGGCCCTGGATTGAGATTATTTTGTCAGATCCCTCTATCTAAAGGTGACAGTGAACGGGCTGTTTACTGTGTGAATGTAGTTTATTGTTGACCAGTGAGTCGCATACAGAACTACAAACTCCCCCCAACAGTTCCTGGACCTTGTGCGAGTACTGGCCCCGGAGCAGGGGTCCATGTGGCTGGGTATCGTTAGGATTTAATCAATACTACTACTCTTACCAAAACTCTTATTGGTTATTTTCCACGAAAAATAAATCTGAAACTGAATAGACTATATTTATATTTTAATTTGTTGTGTTTCTTAAGCAGCAACAGAAATATTTACAACAGCAAAGTCACCAATAAACTCAATAATATCTCACTGGAAACAAATCTAAAATGTCAATAAAATAAACATTATATTCCTGAGTAAAGTTAAGCTAATCAGTCATATATCTGCATCAATAGAGTGTAAATGTGTGCTCTTACTGTGTGAGGCTGCTGGGGGCTGTCGGGGTTCTTGCGTAGCAGGAGCGGGGGGATTGGATGGAGCACTGGGTCCAACTGGCTCCTGAGGTGGTGGATCACTGGCCTCGGCTGGAATACCCTGCAGTGCATAAACATTGACTTCACACTCTGGAATACAGCGGGAATGGAACCCCTAGCCCCCCAGCCCCCCCAGCCTGGGCTGGTTCAATCCTCACCGTGAGCAGATACTCCACTGCTCGGTCTGGGTTGTTGTAACTGGCTCTGAGCGCGGCGACTACCTGCTCCCGCTCGTAACCCATGGACATGATCTCCGAAACCAGGTTCTCATAGGCTGGACCCGTCACTGTGGAAACCACGGGAGAGGGAGGGGCAGGGACGAATGAGGTCAAATTAGTTAGAAACGTGTACTATGTTATGGCACTACATTTCCCACAAGGCTGTGCAAACGGTGAGTTCACTTGAGCCCTGGGAAGGCAGGTCCCGTAACTTCCCACCTCGAGATATGTAAATAAAAATGGGTTCTACGGGTACCCACGAGCCTCCCTTTTACAGACACGGCGACTTTATGTCCATCCCACGCAGTGTTGGGCAGTTAACATCTTGGTGAATTTGTAGCATGAAAGCTCATGCTGCATTAGCAGCTGGTACTTCCCAGAACAATGGTTGCACAGAAAACAATCACCTGAGTGATTGTGACACTAAATGTCTGAATCTAAATTGATATGAATGACGTAAACACACACTTAAGTGACCGGGTTACTCAGAGGAAAAACAGGTAAGGTGGATAAAAGAACGCATCTACATGCACTGTAGTAACCTGGTTACTGTAAGTCCCCATATACGTGCAACAGATCCGTATACAGGCTCACCCCTACCCCCATGAACCATCACCCTGTGGGCCACGGCTAATTTGTAAAGCGGTGACATACATTTTAAAACAAAAGGCAAAGCAAAACATAACCCATACAGTGGTATTTTGTCTGTTAAGACAGCAGGACATCAAATCAGAGGTGCATTACCCAGTATAGACGCTGCTTCTTCAAGGAGACCCAGTTCATCGACGAGGCTTTGAGAGAAAGAACATACATACAATTACAGTAAGCATCCATTATCAGCTAGCTCGGTGAGGCTGGTAATGCTAACACACTGCTAGTGGCAGTGCTCACATGCTGTTGTTTTGGAATCAAACACAAAGTACGGCTGAGGCTGATGGGAATGTTATTAGTTTTGCAGGTATTTAGTCATAAACCAAAGTATATCTGTTTAAGACACACACGGATCCCGACTCTCTGTAGAAAGCTGCATTTAAGTATTTTCATACCATAAGAACTTGTTCAAAAGAAATGAATCATCTAAAGCAGGTTCCTGTGATCAAAACACAAGCTTTTCTAGCTAACCTCGGCCATCTCTCGGACTACCAGACAAAACAGTAGACGTAAACATAGGTTTCCTCCAACCTGGCAGCAGTGGAAAGGACTTCTGAAAGGTCGGATGGCTCGTTCTCGGGGTCATCCTTCGGCTTTTCTTCTGGCTGGGTAGTAGGGGTGGGGGGGTCCGCAGGGGCCGAGGCCGGGGCTGTCTGGGCAGCCTCGGGAGCTGGGGCTGGGGCAGAGGCCGGAGTGGCAGCTGAAGCCGAGTCTGGGGCCGAGTCTCGGGTCGTGTTAGAGTCGAGGGCTGCGGTTGCTTCGACAGAAGATGGGGGGGTGTTATCTGGGACCGGGAGCGGGGGTTCGGAGCAAGAGACCGACTGTGGGGCGGGCTTGGGTGCAGACACTGCCATGGAGGGCCCTTGTGTTGAGGGGGGGGCTGCAGCTGCAGCCGGTTGTGGTGTTGGCTGTGGGGCCGCTTGAGGAGGTGTGGCTGGTTTAGGCTGTCAAGACATTTGAGAATGGATCATTGTAGTGCGGATGTGATGACCAGAGGTGGCAGCGCTGCATTGTTCAGTTCACTCAACTGGCTGGTAAGTTTGCAAATTCCCAAGTAATATTTCCATATCAGTACTATCGTAAGTAAAAAAAAAAAACCTAGTGTTCAAATACTGGCTGAACAAAAAGCCTAGTCGCTTATTAGGTCGGATAAAAAAAATTGTAATTACGTGTATTTATTATGTATTTCTGGTTTATTTGAAAGACACAGATACAATATACATAGACAAATTGAAAACATATCATAGTGCTTATGAAGCTAGTAGAAGTATCTCAAGTAGTAGATTTAGTGAACATTACATTTCCACAGCATGAATTCCATCTGTACAACAACAACAACAGAGTCATGGCATATTGTCACAGTCACCGGTTTTCGACAGTAGAGAATGGAGATCCTGAGATCGGACAATGTGTGATAACCAGACTGTCTTCCAGCGGCTGCAGCCGGCTCAGGTGTAAAGCTGGTAAGGATACTAGACGACCGAAGGAATCTACCGGTACCAACCCTGTTATGGTAAGGGTTAGGGCCAGCTTGACGGGAAGGAGGCTAAATAACACTACACGGTTCAGCTAACTTTTGGTGAGGGAAAAAAATGTCATTGCCATTTTCAAAGGGTTCCCGTAACTTCCCACCTCGAGATATGTAAATAAAAATGGGTCCTGCGGGAACCCACGAGCCTCCCGTTTACAGACACGGCGACTTTATGTCCATCCCACGCAGTGTTGGGCAAAAAACATACCGTTATTTGCATGCAGTATAAAATGGGTTGTTTTTGTCTATTCTAAAATAGTGTATTCAAATATTTCTGCACACTGGAATCCCTGAAGAGTCTTTGAATTGCATTCATGTGTGATGATGTTGGTCCCCTAAGTAGCAATGTCATTGTATAGTGAGACCATTCTGTGAAATGTAATGTCACTTATACAGTGACCTGTTGTGACCTGCAGGACACTCGCAGCCTCATGAAACTTTACGAGCATAGACTGGAGACCTGGTGAATTCACAAGATGTACGGCTAGGTATATCGACAACAAGGGTTTTTAGCAAAGGGATGCTCGTCATCTAATTGATAACAAATTATGACTTTTTCTATGGTGTTCCTCAAGGTCTCTGTGTCTTAATTTGGTATTTTGGAAACAATTTTTTATCAATTCTCAAGTGGTAAAAAATTGTTCAATTTAGCACTAAATCTGTGTAATAAAATGCATCGACCCAAACATTGGGTGGACTGTGGGGGATGGTAAGAGGTTAAGCTAAATGAACTGAAACATGCAGCGCTGTGGGGCCCAGCCAGTGGAGAGAACTTAACAAACATTCTGAATGGCCTCCTTTGTTTTTCCTGTTGCAATGTTTGTTAATGCAGTAGCTAACAAGGCACTGCAACAGGAAATAAACTGGGACACATTTAGAATGTTTAAATTCACAGCTTTGAAGTGGCCTCTAAGTTGTGGCCTGTGGGTACAGCCGTACTACCAAAACTACCTGTGCTGTGACAATACTCACCACTGTGTTTCTCTTTTTAAACACAAACACTGTTTTAATTCGCCAATTGTTTTTAATCCCTTCTACTTTTCAATTTTTGCAACCGTTGTTGAGCTGCGGTTGTAGAAACTCCCGTACTTCCTGTAGTGTTTCGAGTAGAATGGAATGCCCTTTGAGCTGCTCGGAGGCTTTTAATGTGAAATGTCTACAGAGGAAGTCTTGAGCACCATTGACGTTAGCTTAATAGAAAAATTGAAAGTTAAAAAAATGGAAATAATAAGAGAATAGAAACAGTATTTCTGTTAAAAGAAAACTCATGGCAGCAGAGTTGAGTATGACTTGGCTAAAAATAAATAAAAAAGAGACACTAACCTTGGTAACCATGACAACCACAAAGTTTTTCTCATCGATTTTGTACTCTTTCAGCGCGGTGTCATCGTTTAGGATTTTGCCTGTGACATTTGAGGAGAAATCGCAAATGAGAAAAGATTCTGGACAGGATTTATTAATAAGAAGCTAAGATAGATAGAAAAAAATGTAGATCTGAAGCGCTCATTCTAAGGTAACGAAGACACAAAGAACAGTTTTTAGTTTCAGGAGATTATCCACTCATGAAAACATAGTTATGAATATTATAGTCCACTTCTGAAAACTAGCCTGGTTAGGGTAGTTTCACAACTGAGGGGGATTGTAAGAGCTGCTGCTATTGTAACAATACATATATACCTTGATCAATGATTTTGAAAGTTAAAAGTAAAAGAGTAAAAACTTGACAGAAATATGTGTTGAGTTGTCCCCATATATCATTTCACAAATACTATTCAATGGAACACACCAGGCAGTTTGTGGGGCCGTGATGTAACAGAATATGATAAGTCAATGTGTTTTGTTTCGTCTGTATCTCTTTCAAAGTCATCCTCGGCTCACCTGCATAGATTAGTTTTTGTCCTGCAGCAGGAAATGCATCTTTCCCTCTGTCCTTCTCGATTTTCTCCTTCAGGGCTTCAACCTGTGAACAACATAAACAGAAGAAACAATCAGATTACCATAGCTGTTGGCAAAAAGTTATGTTAAGTTAAGATATATATAGTTTCTTAAATCAGATTGTCTGCGTACTGAAGCTTTTTTTTGTGAATCCATTTGTGTCAATTGAACTTACCTTGTATTTTCACTATGTATGCATTTTTTGTCTTTTGTTTTTATATACAGTATATATACATACATATATATAATTTGTTTCAACCGAAACATGCGATCCTAATATTAGAGTTTAATGTTACTTACTATGGTGTGTACTGTTTTTGGTTATTATGGGTCACGTGAAATCACTTCCCAGGGTACATTACTAGTTCAATACGCCTAACATTAAGTACTGTATGTTATTTACTATTATGATAAGAAAATTTCTAAAAGGTCTTCGCTCTTTTCTCCAAAAACAGATTTACTAATGGTAATTACCATAACTACAGAGAGGAGGTTTATAATATTGCATCGTCATTCATGGTGAGACTGAAATAAGTCAAACACTGTCAAGCTCAAAGAAAGTACAAAGATTATTTCCGGTCGGTGTTTTCAATATAAACCCTCCATGCCGCTCGTACGTTATAAAATCATCTGAGGGACACCAATAAGAAGAGTATAGGCAACCAGTGGAATACGGACTATACATTGTACTGTACTGTTTGACAAACGAAAACATAACTTTGGTTACAATGTATTTCTAGAGAGCGTATGGCGGGCTTTGATATGCGTGTCATTACATTACAGGTGTTATGCTTTTACTTTGAAGGGAAACTTGCTCAGTTCCGATCTTACACAAGCTACCTTTACGTTACCCCACATGAACTCAGTTACAGTGAGACCCCGCAGCAGAATTGCTTATATCTGACCGCCACAAATTTGTGTGACATATATGTAACGTGACTTTTTAAAATAAGCTAAATAACTATCTCTTTTAAAGAGTTGAGCAGCCTCTACTGCGGCTAGTGTTATCTCTCATATTAGCTAACGACCCCCGTATGCTACAGTCTCTCTGCCTGCCTCCCCCGGCCTCACCGTGTTTACTTCAGCCCCGGTAACTTCTAACATTACTCACCGTCAATTCTGGGTCTATTTCTACTTTGAATGTCTGCTGTTGGAGGGTCTTCAGCGTTATCGTCAGCATCTTGCGGTGCAGTGTTAGAGGCGGCTGGGGTCAAAAATGAGAGAGCTCTGACGGCAATTTGTCGCCTGTAGCCGCTCTTTTTTCGCACAGGACTGAATCAGATGTATGTGTGACTCAGCTGTCTCAGAGCCGCGGAGCAGACGGGGGGGGGGCGGGGGGGGGGGGGGGGGGGCCGCCCCCCCCAAAAAAAAGGGGGCCCACCCCCC